CGTGTGTGTTTTACATATTGTGTAACATAAACAAACGTCTCTGCATTTCAAAAAATGCAAACTGAGCAAACCTGTCAGAATTATTTTTATTAGTATTATTATTAATAATAAACTGCTTGAAAATTGGTTATAAGTTAATATTCTTTCAAATTATGGCCTAAATTACTGGAATAAATGCATGCTCTATTTTTGTCTGTCAGCGACTGGTGGAAAATGTAGGAGGAGATGTGTAGTAATTACCCATAGATGTTGCTGTTTGAGAGCTCCAAGGGTTGCTGGATTAATGGTGAGGGCAAGTGTTAGCAGACTAGCATTCAGCTGTCAGATGTTTGAGTCAAGCTTCTCCGTAGCATTTTTAGCTTCCTGATTCAATGTCGATTTGGGGTCAGGCAGGTCAGACTCTGGACTAACCTGGACGTGCAAGTTCAGATTGGGGTCTGCTATAGTACATTTGGATTGAAGGATAACCGCATCAATCTGGGAAAACTGTAAGATTCACACATCTGATAAAGATGTTAGAAAAGCCGCACGTGCTCACTTTATGGTTTATCACACGTATGTGACGCACACAAGATCAGATGCGCTCGTCAGCACATCTACCGATAAACCGCTTATGCTGAGGTGCGAACTGTCTGCACAGGACATGTGCAATGCTCATGCCCCCCCCCCCTCCCCCTCAATCGTGGCACTGACCCATGATATTGGCCGAACATGTTAGTTAGGGCAGAGCTACCTGCTGTCATTCATCTTTGGGGGTTTGTTATTTTGCTGTGTACGTTGGGTGTTATTTCTGAAGAATCGAATAAGATGTCACTTTAAAAAATGCAAAATGAGCAGCGCTGAAGAGTTTAAAGCTTACTGCCATAAATGCGAGATTCCACGGCGATAAATGTGATATTCCACGGCGAGGCTGGTTCCAGAGACATCCGCGTCCCCCCAAGCCAAGCTCCCACGGTTCGGCTTCTTTTTAACCAAAAATAACTTTCAGTATTAAAGCTATAATGTCCACTTACACTAACAAATATTTAATGACACCAATACTTATCTATTATTTTATGTTCAATATTTTATTTTATTATTGGCTTTATGCGTCGTCCGCGAGTTTCTGCGATCTTTCAGCAAGCTCCAAAAATATTCCCGTTTAATTGTTCACAGGCAACTTGCGAATAACCAAAATTGTGAAATTCCAAACTCGAATATGGCAGGGCGACTGTAGGCCTAAATATAGATGAGTAGTGTTGTCTGATTGGTCCCTGCTGTACAAACTATGGTTTGATGCTGACATTCTTCACCCCCCCCCATATAAGATATCTGAGTACACTCCAGTGTCGGCTCATGGTTTAAAGAGTTGGGTGACGGAATTGTCCCCTACTAAGGGTTTGTGCCTTGTGATGGACGATCATTCAGCCTAGGCTCTAATTGTCCTGTACACATCCTATTGTAACCAGTACGAACCTTCCCTTTCTGCAACAATATAATTAAAATGAATAAAAGGTGTTGCAGCAAAATCTTTTAGTAGCTTTTGGATTACAGACCCATAAAACGTGTATAGAATCCTCCACCTACACATCTGGTGTGTGAATGCAATCCTAACCCACCACAAAATATACCAACTTAAAATTGTAAAGCTTCTTAAATCATTTGAGGTAAAACGAAGGGAACGAATCTCAAGCTTTCCGTTGTGCGATCTGGTGAACACGGGAGGCAGCGACCGAGATCAGCTGGTCAGTGATTCTCTGTTGACTGTGTCAGTTATGGTCATCGGAAGTACAAACCATGTGGTTAGTCTAATGAGGATCGACGGAATCTCGAGATGGGGGCTCTGAAGGATTGCCATAGCATGTGAACAGATAGCTATTGTTACTTTTTTCCTATAGAATCCCAGCTCCATTACACAAGCTGCCAAATTGGAAAGAGGCTCCAGGACTGAACAATCTTATCGACTGGAGCAGGGAATTCTGGGAGACATTTCAGGGGCTGCAGAAGGTGCTACCGCGCGTGTGTGTGCGCGCGCGCCAGCCTGTACCAATTTATCCAAGCGCAGTCACCTTTTTTTGAACAGTCATCCATCGACGGGATCAGGCCACAGGTGGTGAAAGGCAATAATGACTGAACAGAGCTGGTGGCGAGACGCATTCGGCTAGAGACTCCAAAAAAAAAAGTGGTGGTGGGGGGGGGGGAGGGGAGCTAAGAAACGATGATCAAAGGAGACCCTCTCCTGAAGAAATGGATAGAGGTGCTACAGCATGCATCACCCTGGAGTTAGCTGTGCATTTAGAAGATGGACAGCCAGACACTTCTGGCTCCCCCGACCGGACCTTGAACTAAGACCTTCATGGAAGGCCCACAAAGCCTAATAACAGGGCAGCCCACCACAGCCCAGTGGGTGTCGATGTGTCAGCACCTAAATATATTTCAAAGTTATACAGAGGACAGCATTCAGGAGCCAGAAAATGCGTCTGATAAACAGCGGGAACAGAGCATTTTGGACGACTTTATTTATATATTAATTTGAAAGGGCGGCGAAATTTACATAACGGTTTCATCGTTACATTGTTTTGACCTTCGCCTTTCAAAACAACATTAGATGCTAGATACCCATCAGCTTCTGTTTGTTCTATTTTCGTCGACGAGACACCTTAAGCGCTGGTCAAGCTTTAAAACCGTCCCTTTAAACTGACAAAAATTGGGACGAATCAATAACATCTTGGCGGAAAATTGAGTGCAGGTGAATGTTTATGAAACAAAGGCTGACGCGAAGCCAGGAAACGTCCGCGGTGAAAGAGGAGGCGCGAGACTTTATAGGCTAAAAATACGCTTAGTACTTTTCGGAAATGAGGCACTCATCATTTTGTTTTGATTTACTTTAATATTTCTAGCATCGTCTACAAAGTTAAACTTTTCTGTTTTGTCAATCATTCGTCAAACTTTCAAGAAGAAAGTTACTTCTGTTTTTTTTCCCCCCTAATGAACTTTGAAAAGACTTTTGACTTTTTTTTAGAAGAAGAAAGACAGTAATGAATGTGACAGTCTGAAGAGACTCCAGTACTCTGCATCATCTTTAACTTTGCTTGAATGTTTAAAAATACTTGCATCTGTGCATTGGCTCAGATTCATGTCCAGAAATTACACAGCAACATGGCCTGAGTGGTCCTTAGCATTGACTGCCACAAGAAGAGCCTGATTTCTGGTACTTCCAACACATAGTGCAATGATAACATTACTTTAGACAAAGGAAAGACTGAAAGCAGGTGAATTGTAATCCGTCTAGTCTTGTTCAAAAGGAGTAGATGGAGCAGAAGTGATAATGAGGAGCTTTCGCAGAGAGTTCGCCTGGGTCTAATCACTGTCTGATTTCAAACGTTAAGGACCAATTAAAAACGATAGGGCTCAATAAGGGATTACAACTGTAAGTGGAGATGGGTGCTTGGTACAAGAAAATCGATCATGTGTGTCTCTGTACAAGAGTTTCCAGCTGCTGAGTGTAGGGAATAAATGCATGGACTTCCAAAGGACAGGGAGCTTGACCGTCAAAGTAAATCACTGATTAATAAAAATAGAGGGGTGAGGAGGAAGGTTCACGCTGATAGAAAACAGAGGGTTACGCTTTGAATACATGTTTGAAAACACACAGATTTTATAGGGTTTTCTTTCCTAGCTAATGAATTATTCACTAGGAAAAAGTCATCAGATAGCCATTAATGTATAAGTAGACATAAATAAATATATTAATTTCCATTTGAAGGGACTCTGGATGCTACTGTTGAATCAGGGGAGAAATAAAATACGTATGTCTGATGTCGCAGGCAGAACATTACATACATCACAGTTCCTGAATATGTGCTTTAGTCTCTCAGGCATATTGTTTCAATTACCAAATATCTGACAGGAGTTAAAGCCTCATCTGATTGTTCCTGAACCGTATGAACTAAGGGTGCAGCAAATAAATGTTGTGGGTCCTTGCAAAGAGACTGAAATCCAGTCAGCCATCACCTTAAATACCTGTGACATCACCACCGCAAACGACGCCAGATGAAGAGACAGCTTAAATGTAAACATCTCAAGTTCTAATAATCGGTGTCAGACTAGGGAACTAGCGAAAGAAGCAAGGATGAATCAGAGTGATGCCTCTCTTGACTCACTAAGGAAATTGTTTTATCTTACTTTACCGAAGGGATTTACAGAAGTGTCACAAAGGATATTGTTAAATCGAGGAAAGGCTTATGTATTCAGTGTGGATGGGGAACCTTCACTGAGGGCAGGACTATGGCAAATGTAAATTATTTCTTTATACTTTGGCAAAATATAGAACTGGTCCTCATTTACATATGCGATGTTATGCAAAAACTTTAAGAAGCACTTAAACATACATTCACGATGACTATAGTTCTTATCACATTCTGCACCATAATATTCTTATACACTTATAAGACTTAAATTCAATATAATGATGAACAACAGGCCAGTTCTGATCCCACATCAGTCAGACTCATAATCTACTTTTTTTTTTATGATGTTTGGAGACAAACCAAAACGATATGCTAATATCTCGTCTCTTGTGGGTAGGGGCTTTCATCTGAGAAGCTGTATGATGCCAAACTGCATTGTAAAATTGCTAATAAAACAAGACCAGTGCTCTTGCTCTGGCTTCAGGCTAACCTAATTTATAGAGAGCTTACAGTCCATACTGACAAACCTAAAAATAGACTGGTGAAGTAGTCGATGTCTATCGCGGAAATTTAACCGTGCTTTCTAATAAACAACAACAGATATTAAGAAGCGTGTTCTCTTTGTTGCACTGGCTAATCGGTGTCTTGACTTTGAGATGTATGCGCGCTAGTGTCCGGTCCAAATCTACTCCTGCCTTTTGTCCTATGCTGCCTAGAACAGGATTCAGGTTCCTCAGAAGACTGTCCAGGATATGTGGTTAGAATAAGGATGGATCAATGAATGGATGGATGGATGGATGGATGGATACAAAAGACAGGGTTCCTCCATAATACATTTGGAATGCATTTAATAAAGCTTTAATCATACATCTTCAGATGTACTGTCCTTTAATAAATCTCTTCTTACAAATACAAATTTTTATTTTAGGTAAACCTAGATCAGATTAAACAGGTCTGATGAGTTAATATTCATTAGATTATGAATTTCATGATAATTTCAGAACAACTAATGTGCAATTAATCATGTATTCATGTATTTTGCATTGATTCTTCAGTTAATCAGACCTCACAGTCTCAATGATCATATAGCCGTTGTCCAAAGGTCGGAGTCGGGCTGCACCCATCCATCTCCCATGATTTCTTGAAGGCGGAAATCTTGGAAGTATTCCAGGCGATGACTGATGGCAAAGAAATCATACCATATTTTAATCTCTAAAGTCACACTGACTCACGGCTGATAGGTCATACTGGTTTCGATGATTTGTTGGTACAGTTTAATACTAAATTTAACATGATCGCCGGTGTCGGTGCTTCATGTTCCATCAGATATGTTTTAGGACTGTAATATGATTTGACCCCCACTAAGATAAATTAACATAATAACGAATACAATATGGTAATATTACGCAGGTGTTCTGTGGAGTCGCTGCTGTAAGATGTACATATCTGAAGATCTGCACACTTACAAGTTGGGTTTTTGACCCGCCTCGATTTCATCCCTTGGTATGGGATAAAGGGATTCATAGGTCCTTGCTTCTCCAGAACCATGGATTGCATAGGAATTCATTTTATTCACTCCTGGTGGGAAATATCTCCACGGAAGGAGAGCCTGCCCCACCCACCTATTCCCGTTTATGGAGGCGTGGAATGACAAAGGCAGCCCTTGCTTAAAAAGATAAAAAACAACGTTCATCAGGCACCTTAAGAGCAAGGTGGGATGCAGGAGCAAAGTGTTGTACTTTAACCGACCTGGAATGCATGTCCTCTCCCAGAAAGTAATAAAATTAAATGTTGTCCATGCCTGTAAAATAAGTAAATATGCAACTGATTATCATACACACCCATCATTTTATACCTACAGGTCATCTCATGTTGTAAATGATACAGAAATATATTTTTGGTACCTTTTAATTTGTTATAAGATACTTAAAGAACTGGCTTGTTAATAATGCACCAGCACTTTAAGGAAGCTGACAAACATGTAAACACTCACGGGCAAAGTTCCACCTCCAGATATTTTTCTGTGTTGCTATTCAAGAAGAAGGACTCGACAACTAAAACAAAATAAGAAAATATACAGGCAGAATAGACATTAAGAGAATCTAACTATTGATTTCAGCCCTGTTTTATATTATGCACACGCACTTATTCCTTAATTATTTTTTTGTTGAATAGTAAAGTATATTTATATGCAAATTATTCAGAAAATTAAATGCAAAATATGATATTTATAGTTCAGCAGTGGAATGATGCAAGCACACCTTCATAGTCCCAAAGTCCAGGAAATGGCTGACCAGCACCCCCTGGTGGAGATGCTGGATCATTGAAAAAGGGGGCGGACACTTCCATTAAAAGTCCACAATCTCCCGGCGAGAACTTAATGTTTACAGGGTCGTGGTTCACGGGTAAGCTGTCCCAAGTCTGATCGATGGTGAAGTTCATCTAGAGAAATATCGAGACTGACCTCGATTTTTGCATTTCATTACTTATCTCTCACGCCAGCTGGTAGGTATGATAAGCCCACATAACGCCGCAAGGTAGCTCTCAAATTCGTCAGCTAGTAGCATTTCATCCCAGTGTTAACAAAACATGGCATTTTCCATTTTGACACATTGGACAACTGTCAAAATCCCCTGCAATATTATTAACTTTACCTGGAATAAGGCCTTTTGACACTCGCGATGTTTACAATTTCAACAAATTACAGGAATATTGTGGAATGTAAAGTTTTTTTGCAACATATTCCATTAAAATTGTATTAAACATGAAAACGTGGCAAAGCACAATCATAATAAGCCATAGATATCAATTGTATGCGCATATTTTGGCAACTGAACGTTAAATGGCATGGCTTCCGTTTGTCACACCGTTTTAGTAATAATTCTACATATGATACTTACTATAAGGCAGATGGAGAGCTACAGTATGTAGTCAGAAGGAAAGACTGATGCAAATGAACTATGAAACAGTACGATCTGTTATAAAACCGTAGCATCTGATAAAACACACTGCGATAGAGCTGCCAACTTCCCACCCATAGAAATAAAACAATTAGGAGCCTTGCGTAAGTACGGAAACATATCGCCGCACCTGAGACAAAACAAACATCGTTAAGTCCAGTGAGATAGATACTAAAATATATGTAATAAAGTAATGTAATAATATAAATGAACACTGTGAAGTCACGGTATGTTCAGCAGTACTTAAGTAGCAGAGGAAGTGAAACTTCTGTTTTCCGCACGGACCCAATATGGCGACGGACCGTGTCGCTGAGTGACGTTTTGATTGGTCAGTTCCTCCACTTCGAACTACACGGCGCACGGACGAATATAGGGGTGGCACAGCTGTGTGGCCAAGTGTAAGTATAACTTCATCGTGTAATACAAAGTAAAGGAAAGGGATCACGTCTGGGCCTTTCCGGCACTCAGTTTGGTGGTTACAGACTGTTTGGAACGCTGTCATGTTTTTCAAATCGGGTACAGATTTCCCTGGAAATTGTAGCTCGCTGAGTAAATCTCGATCTGACAGTAATTAACCGGCGCTGGCTACACCTAACGACCGACAGCTGTGGTTAGTTACCGGGATCGGCGCATCGGTCCCGCCGGTGTTTTGACATGTTAAACGTCACGATAACATTCTGAATCTGCGATGACGGCTAACTAATCAAAATGATTTCAAATCACCAGAAACGCCTGTCAGACTCATTGAGCACTATGCACAGCTTTTATAGACCTGAGGTCGTTGGCTGTCCTTTATATTTGTTTATTGGTGTGATGTACACGTGAGCCTCCTGTCTGCCTTGTGAATATTTGGAATAAGTTATTCATCGGTACTGAAGTGATCATTCCTCCTTAGATCCAGATGTCAACCGACACCGAGTCCCGGCGAAGTCAAGGTGAGAAATTAAACGCTTATCGTCACTTTTCATTTGAGTCGTCCGGTGAATTTGTATTTACAGACCCAGGGAAGGCGGCCTTTCCATCTGCGTCGACGTTTTTGTATGATTAGCGATCATACAATAAATACATCTATTAAGACGCTATATGTTCGTTTTATTTTTAATGTTAAAGCCCAGACGCTCAATTCTACCGTGACTCAACATGAAGAAGATGGAGAACAATCGCAACCCAAGCCAGCCCAGGTATGTACATTATCTATATTATGTATGCGGATATGATGTAGGCCTACACAATAAATTAGGTGTTTAATTATAATGCAATGTCTTGAAGGATCAAACAGGAAAGGACAATGGATCCCCTTGGCTTACAGACAGAAGGTCAGTGTTTGTGTGTGTGTATAGACTCATACTTAGTATTTGCGTAATACTAAACAGAAGCATGTAAAACGACAGATTCCGACTTGTGATGAAGTTAACATTTCTTTTCAGCACAATGGCCCCACTCGTAGCAGAGTATGACAGACACATGAATGATATGACTGAACAGATTCGTCTCTATCAGGTACCTTTTTAAAAACTTTTCAGTTGTCATCATGAATTAAATGAAGCATTTAATGGACTTTTAACACGGGTATTGTGAATTAACAGATGGTAGCAAAGTTAATGAGCTTCAAATGGGGGGGGGGGGGCTTTTAAACTCCCCCAATGGCTTTCTCACTGTTTCTTTGTGAGGTAGGGGGGTGGGGTGGAATATAGAGTTGTGCCTAATTGGAATTTTCAAAACAGCACAAAATTTATTACAGAGTTATTTGTTTCACTCCTAAGATAATGATGTTTAACAGAGCTATTAAATTTGCATAAACCTGCATATTTTCTTCTGTTTGGGGTGGGGGGTGATAGATATCTTAATTTACTGTCACTTTTAAACCTACAGGGGCAGATGGTGGCACTGAGAATGAAGCTCGACACCGTCGTGAATGAAAATGAACGGTAGGACTTCAGTGCTGCCGTTATCCCGAGCTGCCTGCTCTTTGGATGCGGCGACGCGGATGACAGCCAGGGGGCGGCATGGTGCTGCAGTGGTTAGCACTGTGGTAACTGTTTGAGTCTCCACCGTGGCTCCATGAGTGTGGGGTTTGCCTGTTCTCCCTGTGTCATCGTGGGGTTTCCCCTGGGTACTCCGGTTCCCCCCTACAGTCCAAAAACATGCTGAGGCTGATTGGAGTTACCAGATTGCCTGTAGGTGCGCATGTCTGTGTGACTGTGCCCTGTATCGGGTTGTTGCCCCATCCTGGGTTGTCCCCTGCCTTGTGCTTGTAGCCTCCGGGACAGGCTACAGACCCTCAAGACCCTGAATAGGATAAGCAGTTTCAGGAGATGGATGGCAGCCATTTTGTGTAAATTGTTGACATGTTCAGCCTTTTCTACAAATACTGATCCTAATGTCAAGTCAAGTCAGAGGTTTTTTTTTTTTTGTCATTTCAACCATATACAGAATACACAGTGAAACGTAACATTATTCCTCTGGCACCATGGTGCAAACACAAACAGCACAAGACTACACAAGTGCAGGCAGGACAGAACTATACAGAATGCAGGGAGATCAAAGAGACAGAACACAAGATGAACACAAGAGCAACAATGCAGTGTTACAGGGCAAGACAACATACTGTACGGTCGACAAGAGCAGTGACAGTACAGTGAGTGAATACAGTCCTTTGACCGATACTATATTCCAGCAGCAGAATTGTGCAAAAAATGCAGGATAATGTAGAAGAATTATCTGTTGAATGAAGTGACCAATCAGCAGTAAAGGTCATGTGAGTTGATGTGTGTTTTTATACGAAGGCTGTATGTGGAACTGCGAGAGTCGATAGAAAAGCAGCTGCAGACTCTCCCCGTGGGTGCCGGGCTGGACGAGGACCCCCTGATGGATGAAGAAGCCATGGAGAAGCTGCAGGAACAAATCCAGCTGTCTCTGCAGGTGTGCCAGCATCGGGGCTGCGGGTCGGGTCTAAAGCCGTTACCGTAATGTGCGTGTGCTCATTGATGAGGAGCTGAGGGCCAGGAATCAAAGCATCCATCCCTATGCAAATGGGTCGTCTGCATGAGCTCATTTTGTGCTTCTCGGTTGAAATGTTAATGGCTGAAGTGAGGGAGTTAAAAAGACTGAGATAATGATGCATCCCTTGTGCTTTTTTTGGACTTTCTGCAGGAGAAGGATCACGCGCTGGAGCTCTGGCAGACAGCGGCCCAGGAACTGGACCGGCTGCAGCAGATGTATCAGAAGGTCGTGTCTGACTCTCAGCTTCATGTGGCTGAACGACAGACCATGAAGGTGTGATCCTCGGTCGCTATATGGATCCTAACAAGCAGCGAAACATTTCCGGCAGTGTTTCTCAATCCGGTCCTCTCTGCTTGTGGGTGTGCTTTCCTGTTGCATCCACAAGGGGGCGATGTTTTACAAAAAAAAGATGGAACAATTTTGACATAAAATTTAAAACGGGCATAAATTGCCAACTGTCGTTTGCACGATTCAGAAAGTCAGATGTCATTGTCTTCAGTGACATCGGCTTGGTTTAAAAAAATAATGTCCTGTATTTATGTTACAGAATGAGCTGACGCAATTCCAACAAGTTGCTCGGCAACTAAAAGAGGCCAATCAGATGCTGGAGACGGTAAGGCTTGAATGCACCAAAAGCCACCAGGTTCATGTGGAGTTTAGATTAAACACTGTGCAGGGATGTCCTGCTACTCGGTACCTTGCTGGTTATAGACTTACTGCTCACCTACGTTCAGAGAGCACATTAGATTGACGGTAATGAGCCTAAGGCAGGACGTACTTTCTGTGGTGTAATAATCCTCCAACTCCTATAATCCCTCGCTGTTCATTCTCTTTCACACGCTTAGCACACTAGCATATCCTTGCCTTTGCAAAGTCCATTTTTCCATCTTTCTCTTTTCCCTTCACTTAGAGGTGTGACACATAGGAGAGGGGTGGTGTTGAAAGAGTAATATAATATCTTTCTACTGCATTTTTAATGGGGCTGGGGTTTGTTAGTTTTCTCCACCCCCCTCCTGACTTTTCCTTGCAAAGGATTATAGGTTTTGTGCTGCTAAACTGTCACTGTCAAACACCCTCCCCACACCCCCCCTCCCTCCTTGGTCCCTGGGTCTGGTTTGCCACACACAGACCAACCAGCAGTTTCTGAAGGCTGTCACGGAGCAGAACTCAGAGGTGGAGAATCTACGCAGCCAGCTGAGGTGGGCCCCCCCTCCAAGTCCTCCACCCCTCCTTCACCAATCTACTTACCTGGCCGTGTTGTAAAATGCACATCAATGCCATTCCATGCCGCAGACATGCGAAGCAAGACCTGAGAGCAGCTACGACTAAGATGGAGGAAATGGCCAAACGCATGCAGGACGCTGAAGAGCAGGCGCAACGTCGGGTAGGCCTGCCACCGTGTCATGTGATCACCAGAGCGGCCTGCCACCGTGTCATGTGATCACCAGAGCGGCCTGCCACCNGGCCTGCCACCGTGTCATGTGATCACCAGAGCGGCCTGCCACCGTGTCATGTGATCACCAGAGCGGCCTGCCACCTACACCGCAGGCAGCTGTGGGTCTGTTCAGTACAAACACCAGAGGTGGAAAGTTCAGGTCCAGAAAGTACAAGTCAGGAAATACCTTTCACAGTTATAAACAATAAATAAATCATAATCGACGAACAAACATTAAGCATGTACATTTACAGGAAAATGTTTCATATTCTTTTTAATAAAATATTTCTGTTAATGAATGAAAACCCTGGAAGAAAATATTTGAATGAGGGCAGTAGATGCAGCTGCTGTGTAAAATGAGGGCAGTAGATGCAGCTGCTGTGTAAAATGAGGGCAGTAGATGCAGCTGCTGTGTAAAATGAGATGGTCTCATGCTGAAGTGTGTTCAGGAAGAGGACGCCGCAGTGGCTTATGGGAAGGAGGAGGCCTCAGAGAGACGACTCCAGCAGCTGCAGGCAACCATCAGTCAGCTGGATGCCAAGTGAGTGTCCCGATGTGGAAGATGACCGGGGGGGAAGAGACTGTCGGGGGAGGGGGTCAATGACCCCCTGCGTTGCCCCCCCCCTGTCCTGGCACAGGCTGAAGGTGGCCACGCGGGAGACGGAGCAGCTGAGGCGGGAGCGGGCGGCGTGGGAGAGGCAGGTGGGCGAGCTGCAGGGGCGCAGCGCCGCCCTAGAGGACGAGAAGTACGAGGCAGTAGCCAAGGTGCGCGAGAGCGTACAGCTGGTGGAGGAGGCCTCGCTGCAGAAGGAGCAGGTGAGGGTGACCCGCCGAGCCTCAGACCCGCGCCTTTCATATGAGCGGGTGAGCGTGACCCGCCGAGCCTCAGACCTGCACCTTTTATATGAGCGGGTGAGCGTGACCCGCCGAGCCTCAGACCCGCGCCTTTCATATGAGCGGGTGAGCGTGACCCGCCGAGCCTCAGACCAGCGCCTTTTATATGAGCGGGTCAGTGTGACCCACCGAGCCTCAGACCCGCGCCTTTTATATGAGCGGGTCAGTGTGACCACCTAGACCTTTTTATAATAAATACAGTGATAATTCCTAACAAGGTGATTCTACCAAGAAAAGCCAAATTCCTTTACATTTTAATTAACATTAGAATTTAGCATTTATCATTTTCTTGCTTGTCATGCATTTTGGACATTTTAATTAATGGTACAAATTCAAAAATTTCAGGCCTTTCTGAGAGAAAAGCAGAAGGCGGAAGAGCTGGAGAAGATGAAGGAGGCTCTGAAGAAGTTCATTCAAGATGCTGCCACTCGAACCAGAAAAGAGGCCAGTTTGTTTCGCTTACAGGACGAGGAAGAGCTTTGGGTCGTTTTTGGGCGCTGATTCTGTTGGGATCAGGGGGAGATACTGCAGCAAGAATGATTTACTTAGACAGGAGCAGCGCCTGGGGGTGCCCTCAGGTGCCAACCAAGATGGCGTCCCATGCAAATGTGGCACTTAATTTAAGTGCCTTATGCTCCAAGTCCACTTGTGTAGTCTGTTGGATTCCTTACCTTTAACATAAGTAACACATGAGCCAAAGTCTGGAAAAAATTATTGCTTTGCTGGAAGTATTCAGGGTGCCTGTTCAGTTCCTTTAGCTGCCGAATGCTGTACATATAATACCAGTCAAATGTTTGGACACGCAATGCCACATCACATGACCTGGTCACCTGACCTAAACACAGTTTGGAGGAGCTCAGCATATGTGGGACCTCCTGCAGGAGCTGGAAAAGCATCCCAGGAGGCCACCTCATGGAACTGGTGTAGAGGGGACAGCAGGGGCAGCCAGGGCCAGTCCCTGGGGCAACTGGGGTTAAGGGCCCTGCTCAAGGGCCCAATGGTGGGATCACTCTGCCGAACCAGGGATTTGAACCAACAACCTTCTGAGTCCCAACCTACAGAGCTGCCCCCCCTCCCCACAAATTAATTTAATACTTTTTTGGTCAGTGCATAATCCATATATGTTATTATATAGTCTTCATGGCTTTAATTATTCTAAAAACTCGTACAAATAAGCCTCTCTTTGGGGAGGTGTGTTCAAACATTTGACTGGTACTGTATTTGTAATGAACTGGTGGTGTAATATTTTATACCGTTAGCTAATTGATGGATTTGATCATTTTCAGGTTGAGAATGTCCGTAAGCAGTGCAATGCACAGATCCACAGGATGGTGGAGGAGCTGTCGGCCCTTCAGCTGGTGTGTTGTCCCCTCTGCGAAATGAAAAATCTCAAACTGCAATTTAGACCGAATCCTACGTATTCATACATTATGCATGGTATTAGGATGGAGGTCAGCTGCGTTAAATGTGTTCCTAGGTAATTAAGTTTTTTTGTTTTTTTTGTAACATTGCTTGTTTTTGGTGATGTAGCGAAGCCACTGTCCTTCACTGGACAATCCCAATAGCAGGCTGGCAGTGCGTCTGATTTATAATTTTGGACCGCTGATGTATTCTGCATTAAGGAATGTGCAGACAAGCAGTCGCAGATAGAGAGAGGCTTGCGGGAGAGAGAGGCCGTGGAGGAGGAACTAGGAAAGGTGATTTCGCCGTTCGTTTGTGGGCTTGGCCGTCACCATGGAGACAGAACATATTCCTGCATATAGTAGGGGAGTAACCAAGCAGTCTACTCACAATTCAGTGTGATACATTCACAAAATATTCAACAAAATAAAGCTGAAGACAAACCAAGCCTATTTTATAATAAAGTGTTGAATACCTCATGTAATTCATTGAGTAATCATACCCATCGTAAAGTTGAAATATCGTAACACGGACCAGAGAGCATCTGTAGTTTTAATGGCTGACACTATGGTTTTAATAATTAGTAGCCAATATTTTAGTATTTTTTGTGTTCTTTAGAATGTATTTCACCACTTCAGATCTGGTGTCTGAGTATTGTGGCTATACTTTGTTAGTGTGCGGACTGATTGTTTGCGCCAAACATGGACCAACTACAACGCAGACTTTAAAATGTCGTCCCTCAGATGTACCGGGACGGAAAGGCAGGGGAACCAGAGTACAGGAAGATCGACACCCTCCACGAGAGATGCCTTGGCGCCGAGCGGCTGAAGGACGACCTGCAGATCACGCTCCAGACGATGCAGAACAAGATGAAGAAGATGGAGATGGAGTGAGTAACAGATGGGGACCTGCTCATTCACACTTGGCAGTTTGGACTTAATGCTTGATGAATACATCAGTAGGTGCTGGTATCTTCACACTAAAACATGAGGGAATCAAGCTTGCATTACGGCACATATGCACGGCTTAAAATCCAGCATTGCATTTAATGCGATATTGAGTGACATGCTGAAATGCTGTCACAAGGCTTTGTCTCCGCAGTACCGCAGTCTTAAGCTAGAGAAGCCAGATCAGTCTTTACCATATTTTAAGAACAATAACCGACTATTTTTAACAAAATACAAAAAATTAACTGGCATCCCATCCAGGATGTGCCCCAGCCTTGCACACGCTTCTGCCTGGGATACACTGCAGGGCTCAGCATGACCCTGACCAGGAAGAGTGCTTTGATGATGGATGGATGGATGCTTTAAAATATCCTCCCCCATCTTTCTCACAAATGCGACCGCAAAGCTGACAGCCTCCTGCCCAAATGGGGGACGTGCAGCTACTCATGTGCCGACATCCTTAAGCATGCAGGACCCCTGTCCCGCCCGCAGGTATCAGGAGGAGCTGTCCCGCTCCCAGGAGGAGGTGCGCAGGCTGCAGGTGGCGCTGACGGGGGCCCGGGACGACTGCGGCAGCGTGAGCGAGGAGCGGCTGCGACTGCAACAGGAGAACCAGCAGCTGCGCAGGGAGATGGAGGAGCTGCGCAAGACCTCGGTGCAGGCCCAGAGGAAGGCCAAGCAGCAGGTGGGTCCCCGTGGGGGGGCGGTGTGGGGGAGCCCGAGGCCTCACGCCACGCAGATACACCCAGAGAGGGCCGGAGTCACCGCCTCCTGCCATTCTGCCTCCGCTGCAGGTGTCGGCCATGCACCACGAGTTCTCCGTGAAGGAGCAGGGGCTAGAGGTCAGGGTGCGCGAGCTGGAGGAGAGCGGCCGCAACTCCTGCGTCGACCTCAATCGCCTGCTGGTGGCGCAGCAGAGGACCAGCAAGCGCTGGAAGGAGGAGGCGCGAAAGCTGACCGAGGCCTTCGAGCACAAAGTGGGAAGCTTGAGGTACGCCACGTCTTTTCATACATATGTGATGTGGACATTTTTGGGGATTATTTACATACATGCATGAGTGTCCAAGCTTGTTTATAACATGGTGAATGTTTGATTAGGCTGCAAAAGTCTTAGGCAGTCTAAGAAAATGATGTTCAAATGATGATCATGTTGGTGTAAAACCATATTATGTCTGTCAGTGTGTCAGCTTCGGCATTCCAAAACCTCTCCTAAGGTCAAAGGTCACCCCAGTAACCATCCAACAAACCCATGAACCCTTGAACGGCCAATCAGTACTTTATTGACTTTTTAAAACCAAATAAATACATTTCACTACCAGATCACTAAATGTAACAAACACACGGAACGGCTGAGGAGAGGTTTGGGAACTGAAGCGGTGTTCGTCTAGCCATCCAAGTATCAGAACGGAGGAAATTCCTGTTAGTTTTCGTAGTTACTTTTTCATTATTTTTCATATCTTCTCATGTTAAATTGTCTTTATTTGAGCACATATACCTTTACTGCTCATATAAGTTTAAAACATTTCCTTTTGCACAGTGCTGTATGTGCAGGAGTGAAGTGTTAACCCATTCAGGGGAGGCATGACCACACGGGACCTTGGTGCTTTTAAAACATAAATCCTGTTTCTTCAAACTACTTCTTGACCTGAGGTCTCCCTGTCAAAAACCAGAGGGTTTGTAACACGGTGTAATGTACCGTGGAGTAACTCGACCTTGCTGAATGTCTTGGCACATTGACTGCAGAGCTGAGCTGGTGCGACAGAAGCAGCATTCGCAGGACCTGGAGGTCCAGCTGGAAGGTGATCGTGAAAAGATGGCGGAGGTAAAGTATCGCCGGATGACAAACCCATATCCATTCCTCAGCCAGCCCTCGTTAGGACGTCAGCTATATGTATGTTACATCATGAGATCTGATTAACTATGAAAGTAATCAAGGCCAAGTACAAATAGATGATTAACTGCACAGATTTTGAAGTACTTGGAAGGATTTTTGAAGTACGAGTCATGTAATACAAAATGTGATGTATACATTTTCTACATTTGTTGAGGAACATTGAACTCTATCCCAGTAAGAATATGCTTTATCAGTCTATACATCTTCTAACCACGTACCAGTTCATGAGGGTTCCTGTAGTCCCCCTCAGGTCTGATGCCGGGAAAGACCTCAAAGAGGAGACAGGACACAGACACACATGGTCACACACCATTTCACTTAAACGCATGTCTACACTACAGGAGGAAACCCATCAAAAGACATCAGGGACTACATGTGCTGAATATGTGCATTGACTACAGCCAGACGCATCACGAGTCTGGAAGCCCCAAAAGAATCCGAATGAGCCCTGAATGATTTGTTTAGCTCAAATGCTTTAACAACCATACTCTGCTTGAGAGCCCACAGATAGTTTACGTCTCTGGGATAAACCCCGGATGTCTTAAAATCCCAGCCACGCCCCTAACTACAGATTTCTTTACATGTATCTGCTGTCATTACAGTATGAAAGACAAATGGCAGAGTATCAAGAGAAGATCAACAGACTCCAAAGGCGTCTGACTCACGCCGAGCAAAAGGCATCAACAGTATCACAGCAGGTACTGCGACCCTCTGAGTAGGGTGGTAGTGCTGGTGTTAGCAGGTCATTTATCCTGCTATATGAAGTTAATCCGGTTTAGTTTATCGTTGATTCACCCAGCTTGGCCTAGCATTCATTGCGTATTTGACTGGGATACTTAATATGAAGGTGAAAGTGATTGTCACTGTTGACATTGTTGAAATGTGTCCTCTCCATTTAACCCATATGTGACATAGCAATGGACAGCTATTATTTAGCACCCAGGGAGCAGTGCTGGTCAGGGATTTAAACCAGCAACCTTTCAATCACAAGCATGCATCCCTAACTGTTAGGCCACCACTGCCCCACATTTTATTTATATAATGCAGATTTTGCAGTTTCTCCATCAAGAGAGTGACAGGTCTGTGTATTGGTCAACAAAGAGGAGAATTAAGAAGAATAATTAGAGGACTGAAAACTTTATTATCATGAACAGTAAGGATCAAACAAGGAGAACTTCAGAGATTACTGACTGCAACTAAAAGATTCTGAACCAGAATTCTTTTCTCCCCATCCAGCTCAGCATTGTCGCATCGCAAAGAAGAAAAGCAGCCTCTTTAATTGATCTAGAAACGGGATAAAATGTGCCAAGTTCCAGGGACCATCTCTGTGATCCATGAAATGTTATTTTTTACTGTAATATTTGTAATAAAAAAATCCACTCAGTGCTTGACTGACTCACATTGTTAAAATCACCAGTGTGCAAATTTTTATTTTTCACTCCTTTCTCAATACAATTTCCTGATTTTTGTATGTACTGTGTATGTACACTTGGCAATCAAACTTCTCCATCACCAGTCAATCTGACTAATAAATATAATGACATAAGATGTGCAGAGTTCTAGTGCCACCGGCCTTTGAATGAAATAATGCCTAATACAGAAATCGGCCCTGAACACCCTGAGATGTTAAGTCTTCACTCCATGGACACCTGAACATTGTCTGGTTTACTTTGCTGCTGTTGGTCGTACTTTCTTGCTGCATAAATCAAAACAAAGAAAGTGGAGGTTCATTACAATTAATCATTATTAAATCTCATCTATAAGAACACGAATACATACGTTCGTTAAAAATGCGTGTTTTGTACAGTATGAAGGACAGTAACAGTTGGAGATAATCGCGTCTCTGTAAACACTGAAATTACTGTTGGTTTAATAGTTATATTCAGTTGGAACGAGTGCAATAAAATTGCAATGATGATAAATGCACTATAAGTCTGCTAACACGTGTGTCATAATCGTCATGTAGAAGCCGAATCCGCCAGCCTACTCACCAATGGAGTACATTTCTAACTGCTGGCGTAAGCGCACTTTCTGCAGGCTGTCGTAGAAGTTGGGCTCCGGTGTGGAACCCACGGTTGGGGGCAAAGTGAAAATCCGCATTATCTTCCTCTTGTTTCTGCAAAACACGAGCGAGGCAGATACAGGAGGTGACTTGACTCGACCACCACCCCACCTCCTATGTCTAATAAATACCTCACTGACTTTTAAAAACGAACTTAATTAATCGAGCTCAACGTGAAATTTAATAAATACATGGAATGGTTGGGGTGCCCCTGAGTAGACGTTTGGGAACTGAACGGCCAGTGCAAAACGAAAATGCAGCCAAGAACCAAATGAACGCTCCGGTACTCACTTTCTGGCGTACATCAGCAAACCAATGCTAACCAGGATCACTAAGAGATACACATTAGTTGCTTCGTTCCAGGCTTCGTGCACCGAATAATCGATCGTTTCGTCGTCAGCCATCACGCCGTAGCCTCCCATCGCTACACTACGACGTTTAATATGTCGAATATGGAATTACAAGTGTGTGTGTAAACAAAAGCAAATTCTGTTCCGGATTGACAAAGAGCAGCGACAATTAAAGAGTGTAAGCGGTGAGCGAAAAGTGACGTGAAAAATCGTTACTGCCCCCTAAAGGAGAGGAGGCAAACAACGCAATTTTATGGTCCATATTAATAATGGAAATAGACAAATAGTACTCCGAAAGAGAATGTGGCTTAATGCAAGGTTTTAAACAAGAACTCCGCATTAGATTCTCTCTTGGGTGATATTAGGTTGTTTGGCATTTCTGTTCTGAATTTCTATATAGCGTCTGTATATACAGTATAGCCCTGATTTCCACACACCTCCCTCGCCCCTGGTTACTGGTCACTGCGTGCTTCATCTAGCAGTACTGCGGATATACACAAATCAGAGAATTTCACCTTAAACGTACGTAGCCCTGATGCAGATTACATATAAAAGGAATTATATAATCTAAAACATAAAGCTGACTATAATTACATCTTAATTTAAAGGGCTTGGTCTCTGCAGAGACCTGCGCAAAACTGGACGATTGCTCACTGTTGTGCGACGACATGCTGAGATAGTGAGATACATAACCCTAAGCCTACTTACACGTTATAATCTCAGAGCCTAGCTTTTTTCACAATTCCACAATTTGTGAATAACACTTGTATTTATTCCACATATCGGCACTTCTAAAAGAGTTGTGTTTCTTTGGGCAACAGACCAGACGTAAATCTTGACATTGCGGGGTTTGGTAATTAATTAAACCTACTTTCAATGTACATTTGGAAATACAGTCATATCTGTAAATAAACGAATAACCTCTCTACCTCTATTCATAATATGATTATTTTTCATTGCTGTTTTTGTCACAATACAGAATATAACTCAGTAATTCCTTGTCTTGTTCAATTAAGGAAACTTATCAAGTACTCGTCATATATAGTTTGACCGCATCCCCGTTGCTAGGTAACCGTAAACATGCGGGTTTGTTTCACTTTGTTGCCATACTGGACTACTGGTGTTCTGTCTCTTAACTGGTTGCATCTTCTGACAATTATACTATTATAATTAATAGATATAACGTATAGGTGTCGTGGAATAAACTCTTATGTCCTGTAAGTATGAAGTCACGAGGATCCACGTAGAAGTATTATTGAAACAGTTGACATATGCAGTAACGTGTCGTTGGATAATATAGTTAAAATTAACTAAAATATTTAATCCACAAACAATATAAATAAAACACGTAAGGCACAGTGCCGGGTAACTCGTTAAATATTCATTTAGTTTTCACTGTAAACCAGCTGTCTAGAGTGCCGTCTGTGTAATGAGCTGTACGTTTACTTGTACTTATTTAACTTATTTTCTACATCTGCTAGACCTGTATTCTACCATATACTTGATTATTTCAGTTTTTATTTATGACTCGCTTATCTATTTTTAATTACCGAAAGTGGCTGGCGTGAACTAAAACGTGCTGTTAACTTGTCGTATCCAATGACAGTTTGTGGGGTTGAGCGTGATATATGGCTGCAGTACCTCCCCAGCGTAAATGAAGCGGAGTTTACTCACTTCCCGCTGGTAGTCAGCTATCCTGACTCCTGCCACTTTGCTGCATATCTATTGCAAGCTGTTTATCCGATGACTATAGTAGATGGATTAATTGATTAATGAGGAAACTTTCTTACAGTAGCAGAATTAGCTTACTATAAGCAGAGTCAAGTTCCTTGCTGAAGCTACTGTTAAATGCCTTTAAAATTACCAGGGTTGCCAACTCATCTGGGTAACTCACCTATTCAGACTCTCACGCTCACGTAATAAATCTTATGGCAAATCTACATGATTTCATTACAAACCTAAACGTATCTACATTAATACCATTGGGTTTGCAAACCCTACAAACTATTCACAAACTGTTACATACTTGTAAATTTGTGTGCAGACTTATTTCAAAATCTCGCACCTGCCAGCTGACCGAAGTTGGTAACCCTGACTTATGTAAATAGGTAGCTAAATGCATTTTTTTATTTGTATCATTATCAAAATGTTCAGTGGCACCATGGAGCGACAGCAGGGGCTGCCACTTCTGCCGGGTCGGGTTGATCCCGACCTGCTTCTAGCTAGGCTAATTTCCGTAGCACCTCCGCGGCCCTATCGCAACCCAGAGGCCCTCGTCTTCCCCGGCACCACCAAGGCCTTGGAGCGCAGGAGAGCGAGAGAGAATCCGGTTGAGCTGGAGATGCTGGTGTGTACCTGCAAGCCTTTGTCCGGCTCCAAACTCGTTTTCGTGCTTTTGGGGGCTCATTCCCGCAGTGCTTAAGTGTAACGCGTGGTTTGTTTCAGCCTGTTCTAAGGAAACACCAGGAGCGTAAGAAGCTAACAAGCTCAAATGATACAGAAGTGGGAACGCATTCCGCATCCACAGAAAGGTCATCGCCCTCAGTGCACCTTCCCAGACTCTCAGGACTAGAGACTCAGAAGCCGGTTAGCCATTGTGTCACCGTCACCAAGTCACCCGCCTGTCCTGTAGGCAGCCCATGAGTTATGTTGACTTATGTTACTATGGTTTCCAGGGTCAACTGTCCCAAAGTAAGAGCTACTCCCCATCTCCTCCCAAAAAGCTTCGGCCCCATGCAGACACCTCAGCTTCGCCACTGTACCACTCGCCGTCTCCTCCTCACTCCCACCCGCTGCAGTTCAGATCAGTGAAGGAGGTGATCCGTGCAAAAATTGATGAACCCCTTGACATCATTCAGACCATCCGCAACAACCCTCATCTGGGAGTCCTCTACTTAGTTCCAGCTGTACCAAAGTCCTCCATCGATTATGACCCGTACAACCTCAAGTAAGGTCAATTTTGAAATGATTCATTCCAAATTTACCATAGGATTTTTCATTATGCGTCGTGTGTTTTTTTTTTTTGTGATTGATTCCATTGAGTTGAAATACTAGGTTCATGTGCCCATTCAGCAATCTTTTGTGTGTAAAGCGTGTCAGCTATCATATCAATCACTGCCTTTTGGACAGGGTTGTGGAATATGTCAAAAAGAAGAGTCCAGACTTCTTCACCATCAGCCCAGCAGGCGTGACGAGCTGGAATAAGGGGGAAGATGCGTTTGTGCCGCTGAATCGGTGGGAATACGAATGGCGCTGCTACCAGAAGCTGTTGCGCATACCCACCTTCTCTCTCTTCGGCAAGTGGAAGACTTTCCGGGTGTGGAGGACCAATGTACGCTCCAAGAACATGAAGAAGCACAGGTCCTCGCTACAGAAGCACCTCTTCATCGCCAACGAGGTCAGCGTAGTTATTGGCTAACAAATGTCCACTGGGCTCTGGGAATCTTTGCAGTCATAAAGGGGAATCTTATTCAGCATTAAAAAAAATTAAATCATGCAGATTCGAATCACCGATCCATGGGAGGGGGACAATGCAGGGGAACCCCCTGGATGAGATATCAGTTCACATACAGTATGTACATTTAAACATGCATTAAAAATTAAGATAAGCTGTATGACATGGGACAGACATACATATTCCACACATCAAATATAGAGCCAGGATTCTCACCTGCTACCCTGGAGCGACTGTGCTTTGCTGAATGGAAATCAATCATTAATATTTTATAAAACCCAACTTAGATAAGAAGCTTTTCAGAAGAGCAATATACTGACCAGTGAGCATCTTCCATCACTGTCCCCAGTCACTGCGTCCTGCACTCATTGACATTTGGGAGATGTGTTACCGCATTAGTGCCATGAGTCTATGCTGCTTCGAGAAGGATCACATTTATACCCTGGAGGAGTTCCAGGGTGCCCAGTACAAACAGCTGAAGGAGGTATGGCTTCAATCTGTGGAACCGTACGTGTATTTTATATAATATCTGATTTTAAGTTTAGGGAAAAAAACAAAAAAATCTGTTGAAATTGAGATTGAGGTCAGTTTGGTGCTCTGTGCTTTTTGCAGGTATCTTCTCGCCTGCAGGAATTCAGGGAGCTGGTGAAGGAGGTGACCAAGACCGCATGCTGCACTGCGCTGCTGGAGGCCGGATACATGCCCAGTAATTACCTGGGCGGCTCCCAGGCTGCAGGTGCGGAGAGTCCACAGCACTGGGAGCAAATTGCCTCAACTTTCAGGCCACCATTCTCAAGCTGGGGCAGAGGAGGGAGGCTGATTGTTATTGTAAGACAAGAAAACCTGCAATTTACTGTTGGCTATACAACTCCTCTGTGCCTCTTAACTGCAGGGGAGCAAGTTCTGGCCGGACAGACGATGTCTAAGATGGAGATTCTTTCGGAGAAGTCACTAGATATTCCTTGTTTTCATCAGGTCATGAAGAGATCCCACTGCAAACGTCTCACATGGTTTGTTTTCACATCATTTCTTTAAATGGGGCCATATATTTATAATACCCTTGTATCCACCTTTCAGAGGAGAGCTTTGTGGTCTTACCCTCGCTTGAAGTAATGTTCATACTGTTGATGGTGACCAATTGTTCAGCTTTATCAGACTTGTGGACTACCTAATTCTGGACACCTTGTACACACTGGTGGTGAATTCTGTGACCTCGTTGCTGAGCTTCCTGAAGGAGCACATTGACAATACTCCCTCTGAGGATGTGATCCAGAGCTGGTGTCTCTCTGAACCTGAAGAGGACACCAAGAAGGTAGTAACATTTTTGGCGATGCAGTCGTGCTAAGCAGGTTTATTCTAATTTAACTCATTAACCGTATTACAGTATTATCTTTGTTGGGAAACAATGTACTACAAACATTCATTTGAAAGGATCAATTGTTACTTGTGTTTTAGAGCAAATACCCAACCTCAGTGATAAAACTTGTTCAGATTAGGAATTATACTTCAGCATGTTTTAGCATTTACGGTTAATTATTTGAAAAACCATTTAATTTGCTTTGCAATGCAACTTAATTTGTATGCTATCTGAATTTAAGGCTGCATATTTGGATGAAGTATTTTGTCTCTTCATTTCTCAGTTACTGTGTTAAATACCTCTCACTTTTTACTGATGACTACAGGGCAGTGTCGTGGACAATGTGGCCTCACCTCCACCAATGTTCACATCAGAGGTGCTGCTGGAGACCCAGTGTTTGTCCTTCAAGCCTTCCCTAGAAGACTTCCTGGTTAGTAGAGGTGATCTGCAGTTGTAGTGTTTGTGTAAGGGCTGCCTAGTATAGACTCTGATGTACGACTTTGGCGTGGATGGCAGGAGATCGTTGGGGAGATCATTACGCGTTTTCAGGAGACAGTGCTCTCAGTGGATACCCTGCTCTTCGACTCCCACTTTGATGCCTTCACAGAGTCATTACGGAGTAGCAAGGTAGACGTGTGCTTGTGCTGCCATTTTCATGCAGTTGTTTCATTAGTCTATTGCGTATTGAGTGTTACTTCAGGATGCTGTGATTTTAGAATCACCTCACTGTGACCATGATGTTACAGGAGGTGGATGAGATATCCGAGGACAGCCACAATTTGGAGATGATGTTCAGGGACGAGAACCTTCTTCAAACTCTCATCGAGAATATAAAGGTGACCATTAGAACTGTGAGAATTGTTGCTACAATGAGCTTATATTCAAATGAATGTTAGTGCAAGGCCTCGTCATCAAAGATATTGTCATTGTATACTGTAGCGTAGTATTTTATGGTATAGTTGCAATAACTAACCATAATCTTAATTACTCATGATTTAGTCCCCGGGTTAAAAATGTCCAACTTATGGACGACTTGTACTCATGAACAGACAAAAAGTCTGTGAAATACGTTGATTCATAATAAACACACGTGCTACTTCGTGAAGCCTGCGAAAAAAAACTGCATGACTTCAGCAGTTCGTCTCTCTAGCTACAATACAGTACTGTATGTACTTTTATTATTACTGTATATAATTCGATAATTATCATTATTATTATCATCATTATTATTATTATCATTATTATTATTATTATTATTATTATTATCATTATTATTATCATTATTATGTATTGTATTGTTTTGCTACCTACAAATTTTACTTAAAGACAGACTTACAGAACGGATCTCGTTTGTAAGCTGGGGACTTTGGATGACGACTGGTAATGACTTTGGATGACGACTGGTAATGACTTTGGATGACGACTGGTAATGACTTTGGATGACTGCTCGGCTCAGTTGGCCGTCATCCAGGTTGATAAATTTGCGCTGTTGTCTGCAGGATGCTGATTGTATGCATCTCTGTATTCCCACGTCTTACCAGCAAGCTCTGCAGTTTGCCTTCAGTGCTGCAAACGTGTACGCTCACACCTTGGAGCGATTCCGCCTCTTCTTCAAGGACAACATGGGTTTGGACCTAGACTTTCTCAAGATGCAAGACCATGGTATTACCACCGATTTTGTGGGGGTTTTTTCCCCCCAAATATGTATGAAAATACATAAATGGAAAAAGATATTTAACGTTTCCATCCATTAAGCATTTGCTTATGTGCCTATAATTCCTTTAAGTTTCTAAATAGTTCTGTTATACTTCCTAATATGTTACTGGCACAGGAGTAGAATTCTTCAGGGATAATCTAGAGATGTACCACAAGCAGCACACGGAAGCTCTAGCCATTAAACAGAAGACATATCTGGGACTCCTCCTTGTGCATACCACCCAATTCCGGGCAAAGCTGATTCCGTCTCCCCTGCATTGCTTACAGGTAAGATGCTTTAATCACAAAGACAGATGGCATCTGATGCATTATTGCATTATAATACTGTAGCTTAAGAGTGAGATTTCTTTAATTCCGCGAACCATTTAGGATGGCTTGCATAAACAGCAGTCACAGGCTGCTTCAGAGTTCAGAGTCTTCAAGCAACAGACAGGATGGCACTTTTGTGGTGTGTCAAGATTCAGAGAACAGAAAAGAGGAATTTATTCCTTTGTAGCTGCAAATAGTTTTGGAAATAGAAATGGTTTTAGTCTCTGGTGGGTTGTATGCATATTTAAGATGTACAGTTTTCACACATCTGCCCCGTCTCAAGTCACACACTTCAATGCCAACCATTATAGTTTTGGGGGTGTTTCTTACAGTATGTCTATGTACACATTGAGAAATATATTTTTAAAAAATTAGTACCCTTACAAGAGCAAGATGTCATAATACATTTACAGTACAAGCATTACTGGATGGACATTGTTCAGACAAAATTGCCCCCACTGCATCTTTGAGTATCCGTATGAGTATGAATATATGCAGGAAATTTTAGCTTGTAGCATGATAAGCTTGTATCACTGTGTAAGTCCATCTCCTTTTTTTTCCAGGCCATCAACGACATGTTACCCATTTTGGCAAAGAATAAGATGGACGCCATCATGGCTGAGCTCCAGGGCGCACAGTTTAAGTTGGAATTTCTGCCCACATCAACTGCTGAATTTGTCGAATCCTTGACATTCCTAGATGAGATTCAAGAGAGGGTGAGCTTAGAGGATCGCCGTCACCTCTGTTTATTCTTTGAGTTACAGATGTTCAGTGTTGAAATTTTAATGTGCCGTTTCCCGCCATTAGATCGACATGCTGGATGCAGAGGCAGAGACAATTTGCCAGATGTACACACTGATTGAGCAGTACTCTGTGCCAACTCCGCCTGAAGACCTTGCTATGTACTCTACCTTGAAACCTTCCATCACCAGCGTGCGTAATGCCGTGGATAAGGCTGATGGCGAGAGAGACATGAACATTGAGAAGTTCTGTCAGCATCTGCAGTGTGACAGTGATGACCTTAACAGAGAGGTCAGGAGGCTCAAGCAGCAGGCTCAGGTGATTTATATCCACCGTAAAACATGCTTCTATGCAGAACTGTATATGCCAATCCTATCTTATCGTTTTGGCTTGTGGGAGTTTTACATACACAAAAATGTTCTGAGGGCAGAACAAAAAATGATTGGTTCTTTCTCTGAACCAATCAGATTGTACAGGAGGTGGGTCCAAACAGCTACAGGAGGCAGGACTAAGACATCTGATTGGTTCAGAGAGAGAACCAATCATTTTTCATTCTGCCCTCTGAACATTTTTGTGTAAATAAAACTCCCACGAGCCAAAACTTTACAGCGATATGTGCCCCTTTTTACATCTATATAACTAAACAGATGGAATAGATTGGATTGGAAAGTATTAAGTAGCATATTTGCTAATATTATAGTTTTAATTCACACCACTTACTGATCCAGGAACAGCAAACACTGGACATTACTGCTGAAAGGTCAGTGGTGAAGGAGCTACTGGAGGAGATTCACGGAACCATCGAGGATCTGCAAACTCAAGCCTTCCAGTATAATAAGTACCAGAAGAATTTCAAGGTGAATCATAACTTCCTGTTTATCACTGACTTTGACCTGACAGATCACATTGCACCCACAATTTTATGGATTCACAGACTCTGAAGCAGGGTTGGTGCTACGCTCTTGCAGGTGGAGGTTACAGAGTACGAGGCTCTGAAGGAGCTGAGCACAGAGGTTAAGTTGAGGAGGCTGCTTTGGGAATCTCTGGAGGAATGGGAGGTCCTACAAGCTCGCTGGATGGAGGTAAGAGCACCTAGAATGGTAATGGTGATCAGTTCCGTATGCTATATCGCCTTTTCAGTGTCTCGCTGGTTATTTCTTGATTTGTTTTCCTCATGTTCTCTCCAGTGCAAGTTTGAGGAACTGGACTCTGAGGAGCTGAGTGCTCAAGTCACAAAATACAGCAAAATTGTGATGCAACTGGAGAAGGGTCTCCCACCCAATAATGTGGTGTCCAGGCTGAAGGATCACGTGGATCGCATGAGGGAAAAGGTAGATTTGAGGACATCTTAGCAGAACACCTTAATTGTATGGAACTTCCTCTTCATCTCCATTTCACCTGATCTCATCGCCTTTTGTAAGACTGATGACAGGAGAATATCCCTTTCACAGTGATTATTAATTATGGGTGATAGTGAGGTTTTGGAAACTCAACCCTTATGTCCAGATTTTGATACAGATTTAGTGGTATGTATGATGTTAAAGTCATGGTCCTTCAAACACTGTACAAAAATGGGTAATGCTTTATTTTAACTGCACCTTCATAATGCCTTTATAATGCATTTAAAGAATATTCATAAGCAGCGTGTAAGTATATATTAACATCTCAACATACATTAACAGCTTTAATATACATTAATAGAAACATTATACAGTGATACAAGTATAATGTCTGCTATTAATATATAATGTTTATTAATGTGTATTAAAGCTGTTAAGGTATGTTAGGATGTTAAGGTATACGTTTATTAATGCATTATGAATGTTCTATGAATGCATTATGAATGTTCTGTGAATGCATAATGATTGTATTATGAAGGTGCAGTTAATGTGAAGCGCTACCCAAAAATGTTTGTATAACGCAAAGGTGGAGGCCCATTGGTTCACACAAACTCACCCCCCCTGTTTTCAGCTCCCAGTCGTCACTAACCTGAGGAACCCATACCTCAAAGCACGACACTGGGACATGCTGGAGCAGATTGTGGGCACCAGTTTAGTCGCTGAGCCACTCACACTGGCCATCTTGGAGGACCTTGGGATCTTTGGCTTTGACTCCAGGATCCAGGAGGTGACAGAAATGCGCTGTATTTGCATCATAAACCCTCTCTGTTCAACAGGCAGAAGTCGGTTGACTTATAAAATATAATTTCCAGGTGTCAGGGCAAGCCTCAGGTGAAGCCTCCCTAGAGACGGTTCTCAAAAAGGTGCGGACATATTCATTCATAGTGTGTATTCACTGTTTTTAAATTCAATGCACTTCTAGATGTTTCATGAATTTGTTTCTCTTCATATTTCCATCCATCTTCTAACCTCTTATCCTGGGACCTGTATCACGAAGTCGGATTTCTCGCTTAGCCGGATAACTTGTCGGATTTAAGGTTCCCCAGTTTAAATGGACTTATCCAGCTAAGCAAAGAATCCGACTTTGTGACACAGGCCCCTGGTCAGAAGCCGTCACGCCACCCTCCTTTATGTCTGTTCGCATTAAATCTTACCGTTTCACTCTAATATTAACTGGTTTCCATACATCACATCCATATCAGGTGGAAGACTGCTGGAAGAGCACAGAGTTCGTGGTGCTCTCTCATCGGGAGTCCAAAGACGTGTTTATTCTTGGGGGGACGGATGACATTCAGGTCAGGAAACAACAGCGGGCTCCTTTCTCTTCTGGGGACGAAGGGTCGGCGTGGAATCGCATTTCCTGCCTGCACGCGCCATTTGTAGCTGCTATCTCCGCTCCTCCTCTGTACAGCTCCCTCATAGCGGCCTCGTAGACCGCTTCTCACGTCCGCTGTGTTTAGGTTCTGCTGGACGACAGCGTCATCAATCTAGCGGCCGTGGCGTCCTCTCGCTATGTGGGTCCGATCAAGGCCAAGGTGGACGAATGGCAGATACAGTTGGCCCTGTTCAGTCAGACTCTGGTGAGTCTGAAACATTATGAAATAGCTCAAATTATCATTAGGATGTGTAATCTAGTTTTCCCAAGCATTGTTTGGTCAGCAGAAAGTGCAACAACTGACAGTAGCACTAATGACTGGATTCTTAAAACTGCTTTTATACCATGTTGGTTTGCAATCTACCTACTGGGTACCATATCTTACTACAACCTTTACAATTGTTTGTGTAAATAATTATTGTTGATTAAGAAAATTAAACAAAAGTTTATTATTTAACAAAAGGAATATTTATGTTGAAAAAGAATGGGAAATAAACTTTTTGGTAATATTTTTTTTTCAAAAATATCATAGGAATATCGAATCGTGAATCCAGTGTTGAGAATGAATCTGAATCGTGAATTGGGTGAATTCCATCCGAATTGTGAATTGGGTGAATTACATACCTACTGACAGTTACGAGCCGTTTTTCAATGGTAAACCAGGCTGTGATTGACAGTGTGCACAAACCCCCCCCCCCCGTTGCACAAACAGGACGAGTGGCTGACGTGTCAGAGAAACTGGCTGTATCTCGAGAGCATCTTCAGTGCCCCAGATATCCAAAGGCAGCTGCCGGCTGAGGCTAAGATGTTCCTGCAAGCAGACAAGTCCTGGAAGGAGATCATGAGGAGGGTGAACCAGCTGCCCAAGGCCCTGCGTGCTGCTACACAGCCTGGTAGGTAGAGAGCAGATCCATGGTCAGAGATCTGAGGCCTCACAAAGTCCAGGCAAAATACATCATACGTAATGGATTTTAGTATGTTGTCCACAGCATTTACATTTAGATGTTTTGGTTAATTCACATGGGGTGGCACAATGGTTACCTCTAGAACCAGGGTTCCATGGGTGTGGAGTTTGCATGTTCTCCCTGTGTTGTTGTGGGGTTTCCTCAGGGTACACTGGCTCCCCCCTACCCCCATAGTCCAAAGACATGCTGAGGTGAGTTGGAGTTGTGGAATTGCCCGTAGCTGTGTGTCCTGTGATGGGTTAGCGCCCCCTCCTGGGTTGTTCCCCGCCTTGCACCTGTAGCTGCCAGAATAGGCTCTGCAACCCCGAATAAGATATGTGGTTACAGAAGATGGATGGATGGATGGATTCATTCATGTTTGTTTAAAATTGTAGTTCAACTTTAGGATATGATTTTTATTTTTCAAACAAATATAAATGGCAAAGAATCTAAACCAGTATTTCTTATCCTGGTCCTTGGGGACCCCCAGATAGTCTGCATTTTCGCTGGGAAGGAGCAAAAACATGGACCGTCTGGTGGTCTGGAACCACGTAGCCATCTAAACCGTGATTGGCCTGATGTCATTTCTATAAAGATAGTATTCTCTATTTTTATTTTGATGTGTGTTTTCAGGTCTGCTGGAGATGTTCCAGAACAACAATGCTTTACTGGACCAGATTCAGAAATGCCTAGAAGCATATCTGGAGTCCAAGAGAGTCATCTTCCCCAGGTCAGGAGAAAAGGGGTCTGTATAAGTGTTCATAAGTACGCTGGGAATGTCCAAGTACCCATTTCATAAAAGGTCGGATTCAGTCGATGGCTTTAATCGTAGATTACATCACCTCGCTTTATTCATAAAATAATAAAATTGTTTCTTATACGTATCATTCCGAAAGTATGTTACATTGAGTTGTCGTCAGTTATGTTCAGGTTTTAGTTATGTTATGTTCAGGTTCTACTTCCTGTCAAACGACGAGCTGCTTGAAATCCTGGCGCAAACCAGGAACCCTCAGGCAGTGCAGCCCCACCTGCGGAAATGTTTCGATGCGATCGCTCGACTGGAGTTTGCATGCATCCCCCCACTGTCCACCGATGCCCCCGACAAGGGAGACGCAGAGAAGGTCTTCAGCAATGACATCCTGGCCATGGTCTCTCCTGAGGGAGAGAAGGTCAGTGCTGCAGGTCTTCAATCTGAGATGATACAAGCCGTGTCCTGTCGCTCTCACATCTGATGGCCGGTGTACCGTCGAACAAGAATGAGCTTGTTGGGTTTTTCAATAGCTACCAATTTATATTTTATATGTATATTTTAATGTATTTTTAAATTACTGGTAGTCCCCAGGTTAAGAACAACTAGTGCTTATGAAGGGACTGCCATAAAACCTGTTATACAAAAAAATCTGAGCTTAATAATAATAATAATAACAACAACAACAACGAACACCTGCAGTACTTTGCAACACTCATGAAATCATTACACGGCTTGCCTTCAAATCTGACTTAAAGGCAGACTTGGGAAGAGGTCTCGTTCGTAAGCTGGGGAACAGCCTGTACTAATAGGCTACACTGGCATTATTCCGGTTGTGGCCTTGAACCATTTGAATTTGTGGATCAAATTGGTTTCCCTCTTCCTCTGATGTAGGTGGGTCTTGGGAAAGGTTTGAAGGCTCGTGGGAATGTAGAAGACTGGCTGGGAAAGGTAGAGGAAGCCATGTTTTCTTCCCTGAGGCGTCTGAGCAAGGCCTCCATCGCGGACTATCAGAGCAGGCCCAGGGCAGAGTGGGTGGTGGCAGGTCACCCCTCTCAGGTACAGCTCCACTAAGGCAATTTCAACGGTGTCAGTTTCGATTTCTGACCATGACACTCAAGGCTTGGGTTCCGCCTTCTAGGTCGTGCTGACTGTTTCCCAGTTAATGTGGTGTCGAGACTTGGACAGCTGTTTCGAAGGGGAACATGACCACTTTGAAGCTCTTCAACAGTTCGAAAAGGTCAATTTTGAGGTATGGTACAAAGCAAATACATAAATGAAATATGTTTAGTTATATATCCGTGACGTATACGCATATAATTCAGTACTGCCTCTTTCCCAGCCTGCTGAAGGTCACCCTTCATTTGCCGTTCTGTCCCTACTTGAGTACCACCTTGGTCTCGCCCAGCAAATCAGTGCCGTTTCTCCTGATCGTACAGAGGCTGAATGATTTGGCCGCGCTGGTGCGTGGCAGCCTCCCCAAGCTGCACCGGGACATCATCACCGCCCTCATCACCATCGACGTGCACGCCCGTGACATCATCACCGACCTCGTCAAGGAGAAGGTGGCTCCTGGCCGCGATCCGGGACGACAGAGCTGCCGGTGAAATACCCGCATGGGCATACCATCAGAGCGATAAGCGCGTGCTCTTTCTCTCGTGTCTGCACCCGTCAGGTTGGTTCAAGCAGCAGCTTTCAGTGGCAGAGGCAGCTCCGGTATTACTGGGACCTCGACCTAGACCACTGCGTGGCCAGGATGGCTCTGTCACAGTACATTTACGGATACGAGTACCTGGGCGCCTGCCCCCGGCTTGTGATCACACCCCTCACTGTAAGCCTTCCTCATACAGAAATATGACAGCCACATATTTTATACACATTCCTATGTGAATGATATTGCACAAGGCGATCAGACAAACCCTAAATCTGAATCTCTCAAAATAAACAAGACAAGATAAAACTTAGCGAAAAACAGTTTGTGGGTGTATTATGGGGTATAGAACCTTAACCTGTGAGGCGTGAGCCTGTGGGTGTATTATGGGGTTATAGAACCTTAACCTGTGAGGCGTGAGCCTGTGGGTGTATTATGGGGTTATAGAACCTTAACCTGTGAGGCGTGAGCCTGTGGGTGTATTATGGGTTATAGAAACAGTTTGTGGGTGTATTATGGGGTATAGAACCTGAGCCTATTTTATATTTCAGGACCTGTATTTTTAGGAATCCTCTAAGGCACTGCAGCACAATGGCAGAGAAATCTGAACATAAGACTGACTGAATGACCACATAGAAGCTTGAGTTGATATGTAACAAATTGAACTGCTGGACGGTTTCAGGACCGTTGCTACCTCTGCCTGATGGGGGCGCTGCAGCTGGACCTGGGCGGTGCCCCGGCCGGACCAGCAGGGACCGGCAAGACAGAAACCACCAAGGATCTTGCCAAAGCCCTGGCCATTCAGTGTGTTGTGTTCAACTGCTCAGACGGCCTGGACTACAAGGTGCCTTCCTCTGTCACCCGTCTCCCATCAAACTCCTTTCACCTCTTTGTCCATCATATTCTTTACCCCATTACTGCGACTCAGTTTACATGGACCATCTCCTTAATTAACCCGTTGTCCCATTTGATTGGTTACATGCTTTGTTCCTCTTTCTTTATCAGCTTTCCCATTGGGTCCTTCCTTGAACACTAAATGCATGTTTTTGCAGACTCTCTCACTAGGTGTCAGCATAACCTAAGTGGTGTTTTATGAATCTTAAAATGCATTTGCTATGACTTTGACAGTACATTTATTTCTTTATTTTCCCCAAAGTGACATACAAGCAAGGGTCTTAGCACATTACAAACATAATGCACTACGATATTTTATTTAAGTTTCATATTATTTAATTCCAAGAAATATATTTTACTATGTTAAGTGCATTAATGATTAAAAAATGCATCAGAAATTGAGAATTTTTAAATCCTATTAATACGATTGCTTATTTTTATTTTCTTTACTGTCGTCATGTTGTTCAGTACTTTTACATTTTAAAAATAAAGTCAGTGGTGACTCACTTTACTCTTTAATGATTTCATTCGAGGTTTAATCCTTTTCAGGGAATAATCTTTTAGGGCAGATTCCCTGAGTCCATTCTTGTTTCCAGCTTTATTCTGAATAGCAGCTCTATCAAGGCATTTTTGTTACCAAAGATGACAGACAGGTTTTATATTTCGCCTGATACATTCATATGGAAATGATATCTGGTGCCTCACTGCAGTCTTATTACAAAATCCATTCCTCTTTTAATAAATCCATGGAAACCATCTTCATATTTCTGGCTACTGTGAATCAGCATTCCACTGTTTCTTTAAATCACACTTAATTAATTACACCATGCTTATCTGCATTCACACCCCTCCTTTTGTTAATAGACTCGTTTTCTGTCCTCTAATCAGATGATGGGCCGATTCTTTAGCGGCTTGGCCCAGTCGGGGGCCTGGTGCTGTTTCGACGAGTTTAACCGGATTGACGTCGAGGTCCTGTCTGTTATTGCCCAGCAGCTCATCGCCATCCGCAATGCCAAACTGGCTAAGGTACTGTAGTACGCTTCCCCAAATCCGCACCTCACCCCAACACACGGAGTCCTAAGGTAGTACGCTTCTCCAAATCCGCACCTCACCCCAACACACGAGTCCTAAGGTAGTACGCTTCCCCAAATCCGCACCTCACCCCAACACACCGAGTCCTAAGGTAGTACGCTTCCCCAAATCCGCACCTCACCCCAACACACCGAGTCCTAAGGTAGTACGCTTCCCCAAATCCGCACCTCACCCCAACACACCGGGTCCTAAGGTAGT